TTCTAAAAGGCATCTAGAAAAAACAACTTTTTATACTATAGTACTATTAAAAAGAAAGAAGTATATCTGTAAGTGTTAACAAGGAAAGATGTCCAAAATACAATGATAATAAAGAGCAAGATGCTGAGTTATATATATGGTTTCCTATTTTTGTTTTAAAAACAAAAATCCTATACTTTCTATGTCCACACAGGCATAGAAGACAACTATTCATCAGTAACAGTAACCTCTGTACAGTGGAATGGTCGCAGAGACAAGGACTCACTTTTACCAAATACGCGTCTATGCTGCTTAAATTGTTTTTATATAACAAGCATGTTTTACTTGAGTCATTTTTTTAAATCACTAAATATTTTTTAAGATAACAAACTGAAAATAAGGATTTGCACATTCAAATTTCATACATAATTTCTAGTATGAATTCCTAAAAGTGTACCTTTAAGAGTTTTTTCTCTTTCTCTCTCTATGCTTAGCTTGAGTTAACCTGCTCAAGTATGAATTTTCTTCCCCGTATAAATCAATGAGCAACAGTTTATACATAAGAGGGCATACTTTCCCAAATTTATGTTCTTCAAAACAATGTGTTTCAAAATAGACATTCAATACTCATGTTAAAGTACTATATAAGACTGCATAATGTCTGCTAGATATATAGAACTCTGCAGAAAAACTTGCAGTCTTTAGTATTTATTTAGCACCACAAGCTAATAATCACATTTTCCTTTCATTTGACTTAACCGTATGTAGTTTTCTGATTTAAAAAATATTAAATATATAAAATGTAAGTAGATTTTGCCTTTTCGACTATGTCATTGTTTTATTTACTATCATCTGGGCATTAACTGAAAAAACAACCTGGCTAGCTTGTTTTTGCAAAACAACTTCCCAAGTCTTTTACGAGTATAAATCAACAGATGTCTTCCCAAGTTATGAAGCCACAGCCCTAATCATAGCCCAATCAGCTAGTGCTTCGGGTACTTCATTCTTCTCCAAGTCAGCTTAATGCTATTTTGAAAACTCTTCTCTTTGTGGTATCGGAACTTAAGAGTCAAGAAATTTTTTTAATCAAAATCTTTAACTGAGAAAGAACGTAAGCACTGGAAATCCTCCTCCTTACTGTTGCCAGGCAAGTCAAAACACATCCCGAAAAGAGTTCAGAAGTGGAATGGAGGAGGCCTGGATGGCTCGTGTACACCTCCTAAGAGCCTCACCAGCAGTACTACCAAACTCATTTGATGTGCAAAATTGAACATCAAGGAACCTTACAAATTGTCCACGCTAATCTCACACTTCACACAACTGGTGTTGAGTAGTATCCCAGAGAAGAGCCCTGGTCTGTTCAAGGTCACAAAGCAAGTTACCGACAGAACTCAGTTTAGAATTTACACTCTTCTCATCTTTCAACCACTATTCTTCCTACCTCACGCTTCTTTATAAAGTAAAATGGAAACGATGGGAACAGAGACCCTGGAGAACACAAACCTATTACTATTGCGAAAACCGTTAACAGGTCTTCGGATTTTTCTAACAAGTCTGAACTAATGGAGAGAGGAAACTAAAATACTCCTAGCAAAGAAAAATGGTGGCGCGGGGGAGGCCATTAGCTTTTCAGATTTATCTTGACACCTCTACACTGTGGGGAGATGCCAAGGACTCTCAGGACTGAGTCACATGTGAACTTGGGGCAACCAATAATTTTTAAGTGTTTAGAAATCACTAAGTCGGTACAACATTCTAACATATTTGAAACTGTTTAAAAAGAATTACTCATACCATAATGATTAGTCTTTCATTTGTAAGCAGGACGAGTATTAGGAGACTGAAGTCAAGGAAAAGAGCTAGGAGGCTGAATTAACCCAAAAGTGAGATGAAGAGGAGCTGAACTGGAAGGATAAACTGGTAACGAAGGAAAATAGGGGCACTACACAGGAAAACTGAACCATACTTGGAAATTCAGATACAAGGATAAAAACGAGAAAGGAGATGACTACGGTTTCTAGATGACTCAGGGGTCTTTGGGAGAACATGTGTGGTTAGTCCAACCCTGATATTCTTGCATTTTTTCCCTAATTACTAAAAACAATTCATAGTGAAAAAAAAAAAAAAGATAAAACATTTAAACATAACGTATTGGGGGGAAACTTTTAAATCCTTATTGAAGCAAGTTACCGACAGAGTTCAGTATGATGTATGTCATAGCAGTTTATATTTTTTATAAAGAATGACAAAGGGGCTTCGATTGTAGATAGGTCTGTTGAATACCATTTACCAATAGAACAGATCAACTTCTAATCGATCTTGTCAACTGTGAAATCTCTCCCTCCTACTTCACATGATTGAGAATGAAATAACACACATGAAAGTATCTAATCTAGTGCCTGGTTCATACCTCTCAAAAATTTTATCTTAAATGTATGAATTGTCAGCTCTCCAAAATGTAGATTTGCTTAAATGTAACTTTTCTCTTTGCCTCTCTATCTATACCTCTCTTCAGCAGCAGGCTCGAATTTACAAGTTGTCCGGAAAGCATAAAAACTTTTCCTATACCAGGCAGCCCTGCTTGGCTTTGCAAAACCAAACCAGCTGTGAACTATGAGACAGAATAGATACGAGTGGGCTCCCTGCCCAGTCACCTGACCTACTTTTACCTCATGTCAGGCCTTAATCAGCACTTCTGGGAGAGAGCTAAGGACTCCTTGTCTCTGTTCTCAGGTACACCTTACCTCTACCCACCCACCCCTATACTGCTTCAAGAAAACAAGAGTGCAAGCCTGTTTCTCTCGAACTCAGATCAGCCTCCAGGCTCTACTCTCAATTTAGCCCCTCTACCACTGCACACTCATTTCTAATTAACTCATCCTGTCTCATTTATAATAGAGTTTTTACCCCCTCCTCTTCTCCCCTGCTCCCACCACTTCAGCCAAATAGCTGGGTTTCAAGTCATTTTAAAATCATTTTATCAGCTTGCCCTTCCTCCACACTCTAGCCTAACGGATCTTGGCCCTTCTCTTCTGCTCATCCACAAACTGTACAGAGGTATTTAAGTAAAATTCAAAGATGGGGTTTGTCTTTAGCAAAAAGATAATCAAAACTACATACACTGAGCTGTGGGCACTTCTTTACAAGTATTCAATTCCAGAAATGCTTCATTTTCCACTAATCATGACAATTTACTCATGTATTCAATTTCCTACTCTAGTATGAAAATACCCTATTTATCTATGTTAGACCTTTCTTTTCTAATTTCCTACAGTTTAGTGGATATGTTACTTGGTCATGGCTACAGTAATTTACAGTAAATTGTAATAACGAGTCAAAAAAGTTAGAATCTACAAATGTGTGACTCTAACAAGACTGAATTTCTTGAGGACAGCAACATGTCATAGTAGTCTTTACATTTTTTAACAGCATATAGTATTGTCTTTTATATGAAGCATTCAATGAACTTAACTGAATTATGAAAAAAAAAAAAGGTAAAAGAGAAAGAATACTGAACTGGAACTCCATAAATGTGAACCATGGATCATAATTTGAATGACTTTGGGACAATCACATTCTCTGGACATCAGAAACCTGTCCTGAAGAGTGGCAGGCAATAGAGAGTAAATTAATTCTAGAATCACTTCCACACACAATCCAGCAAACTCCAGGAGGTGAAAGAGGGTTGTTCTACATCCCTCCTCCCCATCACCACGGAAATGGCCCTCTTGGAAGTGAAGGCTTCTGTCTGATCACTTAGCAGTTGCACACCAGCAGCATCACAAAATTCAGATGAGGTCCTCTCTATTACCCTGCAATAAGTTGCTGGCCCATAATTGGTGGGTAATGAATTTATCTATGTTATATGCACCTCCAAGTCAGAGCCTACACCTGACTCCTTTTTAAATCCCTTATAAAGCCTAATATGTAACAGCAATATCAATTAACTTTTAACTTGACCTGAGAGGCAGTATCAAGAGAAGAGCTCTGGGATCAATTATCACTTTACCAATAACCTTCAGCAAGTCAAAACTCTGCCGGACAAATAAGAACTATTCTGCAACTTGACGTCGAGGTGCATTTAACACTGACAGAAGTGAATAAAATTATTTTCAAATGGTTCTGTTTATTGACAAATTAGCTTTCTTATGCATTAAATATCCACTTGTTTTTAACAGTCCCCAGTTAAATAGCTGGATAATTAACTGGTCTATAATCTGATCTGAATTAGGAAAGGTGTCACGAGATTATTTTTGAAATCCCTTCCAATTCTAAAGCATTGTAATGTTCTATGAATATGCCCAGGGTGATCCAAAAATCACAATCTTTAATCCAGTCTGCTTAAGTAATCCAGTCAGAGGAGGCGTGCTGTGGTACAGCAGTCCTTGCACAACCTAAGTTGTGTCTAGCTCTGACATCCAGAAAGGTCCCACGTGAGCTGAACTGAAGACGGCTGAAGCCCCGCCCATCCCCATGACCAGGAGTAAATCCAACTCCACCTACCGATGCTCTGGAGTCCCTACCTGCAAGCGGAACAGCAACTCCTAACAGGGTTCCCCTAAGAGGGTCTATTAGGATGGGGCGATGGACAGGCAAACTGTTTCAAACACACCCTCCTTCTCTTTGGAAGGAAGCGTATCAAGCTCCTCAGGTGCATAGGAAGGAAGGCGGAAACTGACATTGCCGCACATGTGTGGACCTCTGGTCTCCCTTGCACAGCGAGAAGGGGCTGCAGGATCGCACCCCGGTGCACTGGGGCTGTAGAGACTACTGTGTGCCCGCCGGAACCACGGAGGGACCGGGCCCAGGCTCACTCACCCACAGGCTGCTGAAGTAGTCCAGCCCGCGGCAGATGAGCGCGCCTGCGTGCGCCAGCAGCACCTGCACGCCCAGGTAGCTGCCAAGGCTATAGAGGCCGTAGAGTAGCGGGCCCCCGGCGCCCAGCAGCACCAGCAAACGGCGGCGGCGCAGCGCCTGCTCTCCCAGGGCCTCGACGCCGTAGTCTGCGAAGCAGAGCGGCAGCAGCAGCGCGGCCAGCACGATGGGCGTGTGCGCGCGGTGCAGGCGCTGCAGCCAGTGGCGGCCCAGGCGCGTCAGAGAGCTCTTAAAGGGGTGCAGGAAGGTGCCACACAGCACGGCCCACAGCAGCGGCCGCAGGAAGGCCTCCAGGATGAAGTAGACGAGCACTGCAGCCCCGCAGCACAGGCACACGAACAGCACGGCCCCCGTGTTGTAGAAGGCCTGCTTGATGGGCTTGTCGAAGCGCAGCGCCAACGCGGCCGTCCGCGGGGTCTCCCCGCAGCCGCCACCGCTGCCGCCC